AATCAGCTCAGTCTGTCGCATTTTATGCTCGTAGAAGGACAACAATTTTTGGAATTTCCGGTTACGTCAAATTAGTCACGTTATACTGTCACGCTATATTTTGGGGCACAGAGGGATTAGGGGAGGGGTGCGTGGAAATAATGCAAATTGTTTCCTGTTTAGAATTAATGGCTAACTTGTTTATTTTTATTCATAATGGTGGAATTTAAAAGTTATTATACAGCCCCCACTTAAAAATGGTACTCTTTTTTTTTGGTTACGAAAGTCTTTCAAAAGGGTACAATGATCTGAATGAGTTTATGTTTCAGTCTCACATGAGATTCTGTTGCATGCAATGGTTGCCGACAAGGTTTTATGGTAGCCTGAGTGTGTATAGCCGCCCCCTCCCCTCAGAAAAAATACCCCCTTTGCAGCCTAGTTAAAAATCGCCTTTCGGCGATTCTTGTTGAATCAGCAATATACTCGAGAGGTCTGACATGCCTTGCCTGCACATGCGTGTATTCACAGACTTCGCGTCTATTCTTTGAATACTGCAAATTTAATTCATCCATGAGCTTCCTACTTTATCGAAGTCGATACTTTTTACTTGTTTCTGAATTGATTTGGTTCGCGTGTTAGCGACGACCGGAAATACGTCGGCGGTCGCAGGCTATTCGCGTGTATAAATACACGAAAATTCAAGGATCTCGATTCCAGAGAAATTACATCATTGTCAGAGATCAAAAAAGTGATTTACATGACACGTCATTTCAATGATCGCCGAAAATAAACGGCATACTCATCAAAAGACCCATGTGCATACAATGAAAGTTTACAACACCCGACCATCGCAGTTTTGCTATTTTTTTTTTCGACCACTCAGTAGTGTTTACTTGTTCCAAAGTAATCAACGCTTTCAAGCGATGGAATTCGTGGACCGACACGTTTTGGAAAACCTCTAAATTTAATCTTTCCTAGGCTTTCTTCCCAAAGCATGCGTGGCTTCGATCACGCAACGGCTCTTAGTCCCAGTTTCCACGGTCCCCGCAAGGAACGCTTGGCCCAATGACCCCCCATTTGTGTATAAAATACGACGAAAATCCTCGGGGGGAGAGGGGTACTTCCAGAAAAACTGGGTTGGGTTTGCGGCACGCTTGCTGAGACTCGCACCCTATTTCACACCAAAATCTGTGATTTTCCCTACCCTATTTCAGACCTGAAGCCCTAGAGCCCGGCTCGTGACCGGAGCGCGTAACAAGCTGTTACGGCAGGTACACGGTTGGAAATGGCCTTATCGCAAATGAAGAAGTAGCTTCTTCTAAAAAACATACCCAATTCAAGACTAGAGTGCACAAACCATACCCTATTTCAGACCAAAATTGTCACAATTGATAACCTATTTCAGACCAAAACAGCTAAAAAAACCATACCCTTTGGCGCTGCACATAACTATATACCTAGCCTATGTAAGGGAGTACCCCCCCCCCCCCATCGGGGCGAAAAACGCGTTGCAGATTATGAGTCTCGCTGCTTACGCAAGGGAGACTACAAAGAAGAGAGGTGCTACTTATTTAATCGTTGTGTGTGTTAAAAAATGTAACAAGCTGAAAGCTGTTTGCTTTGAAAGCACAATCGTTTTCCAAATGGGATTGGGGTATTCACAGAGCAGTGATCTGGGGCCCCCGACGACTATTTTCTGTCTGTTCGGAGAAGCAAATATTGCCTAAAATTTTCTATTACTTTAGAACGGCTAACAATTTTTTGATGTCTGTTCCATTCATGTACAAATTTCGAAGCTTATCTAATAAAACCCCTATGATTTTCTAAAGTTGAATTTTTTACATTTCACTCCTCAGGTAAGGCTTTCAGCGCCATCATCTATGCCGAAGTTATAGTCATTAATTCCTGCCTTAAACTACTTGAGTATAGCTGTAGGCTCTCACCACTGAGAAGACAGATAATGAGTACAATGTATAATAAACTCAGTAATAAACCTTGGCGTGGAAACCGAGTGCTTGTCGTATGGTGTTAATCTCGTACCCAGATTTCCCTTTCCCTTGGCCGTGGAAGATCTGGGTACGACATTAATATCGTGAGTATCAAGAAAATCCACTGATCTGACAAACACCCCACGAGGCGACTAATGTTTCGTGGATCACTGCAATGATCGCTGCCCAGTATTATTTGTAGAGAAGGTAGTCAGTATTTTATTTTCCAAAGCATTTATGCCTATTCGGTTAACCATTCTGTCTATGATGGTCAAAACATAGCCGGCGAACCAGTTCTGAAACACCCGAGTGTAAAACTTCTTGAATCTGGGGTGAAACTACCTTAAATGGACTAACGTTAGTGTTGTAACTGAGGTAACTTATTGTTTAGGTATAGTTTTCCTGCTTCTTTGATTGCCATGTAACTCAAGGTGGCGTTTTTATTTTGTATAAACGATATTACAGCATAAACAAAGATCGTTGACACGAGAATCTTCAT